TAGGAGAAGAGCTGACCAACGTAAGGCACAATTGAGGACTCATAGGAGGTGATTACACACAGCTGTTGTCCGTTAGAGTCTTCTCCTACGGATAAAAGGACTGATGGTGCCACGCCCTGGTTGCAGAAGTCAACGTCGTTCGTTTATGGAGAATTCAGTTCTGATCTTGTTTGAGTTTGTGAGACACTTGGAGAAGTGATTTTGCTTCGTGAAAATTTGGTGCTGTAAGAGTTTTGTTTCTGCATTCTGCTGCGTAACCCTTGTTTGCAAGAGACTTTATCTGTGTTTACTTTGGGCTTACAGCCAGTCTGAGCCGAGACTGATAAAGGCTTTCGTTTGGCAAGCTTTGTGTGACTTTAGTTTTGGAGCAGGCTAAGTGGGGGCCAGAACACTCAGGCATTGGGACGAAGTCCATACGGCTCACTATTTTGAACGGCGTGAGTCCTGTGCTACTGTGAACAGCATTATTGTACATGACCTCAGCAAAAGACAAAATGTCTGCCCAATTGGACTGCTGATAGTTCACATAACACCTCAGGTACTGCTCTATCATGCCGTTCAGTCTCTCTGCTGCCCCATTGGTGCTCGGATGAAAAGTTGAACTAAGACCCTGAGATGACCCAATGGACCGCAGGAACTCCCTCCAGAACTTAGCCGTGAACTGGACCCCACTGTCTGAGATAATTCTTCGAGGTACTCCATGCAGTCGGTGGATATGCTTCACGAACAGTTTAGCCAGCTTGTGAGCCGAGGGTAGTCCTCTACAGGGTAAAAGTGTGCCAGTTTGGAGAAGAGATCTATTACAGGCCAAATCACCTTGTTTCCCCCACTTTTTGGCAACTCTACTATAAAATCCATTGTGATCTCCTCCTACGGCCTCGTTGGCTCTGCTACTGTTTTCAGCAGTCTGGGGTTTTTTCCTGGTCATCTCTTCATTGTGGCGCAGATGGTGCAACTTTTCACGCAACTGTCCACATCTTTCTTTTTTTTCCCCAATATATTTTTATTATTTTTACATTTAAAGCAATGCAGTACCGCGAAGTCGAAGTGACCATACATTCACATTATATANTTTGTCGCGCTTCTGATGACGTCACGTACGCGCTTTGATCGGGCGCGCTTTAGTGGGCCGCGGTTTTGACGGGTCACGCTTCTCTTCACCAGACTAGCCATACCCAACAGAGGGACAGGCTTCCAGGATTTCCTTGAAATTGAAAATAAACCAGATCCTTTTGATAGCTTCTTTTTTATATCCTATCACCTGGAAAAACTGTTTTCCCCTTGTGGAAGAAACGGGAAAGGTCCACTACGTTTCTTAAGATGTGCCGGAAAAAAAAATTAAGATCGGTAGCAGGTACGAATCTGACCCGAAGTCTTCCCCCCACCCCTTCCTCAATCCTGAAGACTCAGTTCAGAAAGCAAGAAAAATCAATGCAAAAAAAATCCAATTTTCCCCAATTAGGTTTTTGACACGCAAACGCAGCGCCCCCTGGAGGCGCTGCCGGAGAGTGAATGGATCCGTCCTGGAAGAAATTTGCACGGCTGTAATTAAAAGTAGTAATTTTTGTGAAGATGCTGCTGGAGAAATTGTGCTGACGCCGCTGTCTGTGTTGTGCCTCTGCGGCAGCTGGGCTAACAAAGCAGGAGTCAGAGTGTGTATATGGGGGGGGGGGAGGGGGGGAGGGAGAGAGGGTGTCATCCAGAAAATTGGAGAGTCATCACAACAGGGGGGGACAGTTAAGGTTGAGAAATGGCTGCGGTCTGTGAGTTCCAGAGGGCCACTCTCGGAATCTCTTCAGAGGCTAGGTGCAAAACTAGGTGGAGTCAAGGAAGCCACAGGCCGCGAGGGCAGGTACCTTACCTGGACCAGGTGAGCGCATCTCCCCGCCTTTGGCCACCTTCCAAAGGGGAAGGAGAATCAGTTTGGATGGGGACCCTCAAAATTCCCAGGTTCATGGGAGTTGGAGAGGGTGGAGATGTTCTGTTATGTGCAAGGGGTGAAGGCATCGGGCCAGGAACTGGGAGGCTGTGAGTTCTAGTCTCGCCATAGGCATGAAAGCCAGATAGGTGAGTTTGGATCAATCACCGGGAGACTGTGAGCTCTGGTTCCGCCTTAGGCTGGGTGTCTTTGGGCCAATCACCAGGGTGACTGGGAATTATAGAGCCGAAGGTGGCACAGTGGTTAGAGTTGCAGGCTACTTCTGCTGACTGCTAGTAGCAGTTCGGCAGTTCGAATCTCCCCTTAATCAATCTTTCTATCTGTCTATCTATCTGTCTGTCTGTCTGTCTGTCTGTCTGTCTGTCTNTACGGCACTGTGCTTTCCCTCCACTTCCTGGGTGGAGCCCGTGCCGGGGAGAGGCAAAAAAAAAAAAGAAAAGAAAAAGCTTTATAAACCTCCAAGCTCGCCCGTCAGCAAGTCCCGACAAGAGTGGTGAAATTACAGTCCTTCCAGCAGTGAAAGAAGACAGGAACGGACCAGTTGGCTCCAGGGAAAGAGAAGAAGTGGTGGCATCTCCCAGGCCTGCCCCTGCTCTCTCCTTGCCCCAACACCGCCTGCCTGCCTGCCTGCCTGCCAAACTTGGCCACATTCCGGTGAGGTTCTCCAAGGCCTCCGGCTTGTGACAGCTTTCTCAACCGGTCTCAACCCTTCCTGAAGCCCAGCCGAAAGACCCCAGCGAGCCTCTCTCCAGAGCAGGGGGCACGAGAGCCCTCTGATCCGGTGCCAGGGGTTGAGTTTGGATAGATGCAGCATCCAGACACATGGGGTCCGTCGGCGGTGCCAGGCAATAGAGCGAGTCTGGAAACCGGCTGCCTGAAAAGCTGAGCTGGTCCGGACAGAGAGAAGCAGAAAAGGGGGCATTTTGAGCCCTTCGGCTGGACGGCCCAAAGGGAAGAAGCTAAGAAGAAGGTCTCTGAGCAGCCACTTTCAAGAGCTTCCTTGGCTGGCAAGGGAGGAGGTTGAACCGCCAGTTCCTGCCAGCAGAAAGGCAAGAGGAAACGGCACCACCATGGGCTCACGGAGCTGCGACAGGCCCCGGGGCTTCTCTGGGCCCCCGGGGGTCTTGGGCTGGCAGCAGCAAGCCACGGGCTTGGTCTTCCTTCTCCTGGTGGCCCTCCAGCAGCTGTGCTCCGTCTGGGCTTTCTCCACTTGCAAAACCTTGGACATGGACCTGATGAAACGGAAGAGGATCGAAGCCATCCGGGGACAGATCCTCAGCAAACTCAAGCTCCCGAAACCCCCCGAGGTGGAGGAGTCGGACTCGCAGACCCTACCCGAAGAGGTCATGGCTCTTTACAACAGCACCAGGGAAATCATCCGAGAGATGGTGGCTGAGGAACTCCAGGAGACCGTTCACGAAGAATACTACGCCAAGGAAGTGCACCGCTTCATGATGATCCCCGTTAGCGATGGTGAGTCTGCAGAGGGGATGGGGGAACGGGGGGCATCGGATTAAGAGATGTGCAGAGGGGGAAGGGATCTTATAGGGTCATCTAGTCCAACCCCTACCCCGCAGGGGACCCTACACCATTTCTGACAGATGGAGATTGGGGAGTTGAGCAAGTGAGAGAACCTAATATGTTCGGATGATGATCCTTGCCATGATGTTAAAGGTTGTTGCAAGCATCTCCCTGTTCCAGCTGAGAAATGCAAGTGTTCTGTCTCATTCAGACAACCCCTGAGAAGCAGGTAACCTGTTGTAAGGTTCTCGGGCATTTCTATCCCCTCAAGAGGACTAGAAACCTGTGGGCCATACAGAGGCCACGAGTGAGACATTTTTCTGCTGCCACGGGCCTGCATTTATCTCATTTTCCTGACGCCTAGGTGACAACCAGCAATGTTTTTGTGAATACCCACAGTCCTTGACTTCCAACGTTTCATTTTACGACTGTTCAATGGTTGTTAACTTTCTCAGCAGCTTAGTGAACTGGCTGTTGGAAGAAATCATTAGGGCAGAGAACCGGTTGTTAAATTATTTGAATCCCACCATTGATCTAGTCCAACTCCTCCCCCCTCCCCCCAAGCTGGAGACCCTACACCATTTCTGAGAGATGGTAGTCCAGGCTCTTCTTGAAAGCTTCCAGGGGTGAAGCTCCCACAACTTCTGAAGGCAACTTCTGTTCCATGGGTGGATTGTTCTCCCTGTCAGG